GCTTGGGCACTGCCCCATTCAGTCTCAGCGGGTTCTTTCAGTGAAGGTTGTTTTAACCCTTTAAAAACTCAGAAGAAAGGTCTCTAGGCTGCCAGAGAGCCTGCCCACCACTATTGCTTGGTTCTTTGTGACAATATCCCAGTTTAGCTAATTAAGCTACAACTAAATGATGACTTATTGCTTTAAAACGACTTTAAAAAGAAGGGGAGGGATGCTGAGGTCTTGCCCCTCCCTACACCCTAGGAAGAAAGACAATCTGCTGAGAATGGCCCCAGTGGGAGAATAGAGGAGCATTTGGGCAGCTGGATTTGTCTACAAATCCTTCTTCCTTCCCCCACCTCCCTATCCTCAGCACCAGCATGAAGAAGTTCACCTCTGGCCATAATCTGTTAGAGACCCCAAAAGAAAACAGTTGCTTTTCATCACTGCATCCCATCACCAGTTATCGGTTCCCATCCCTCTTCTTCTCTTCCCTCTTTCACAGTCAGCTGAGCTCCAAAGCCCCAGCACAGGAAGGGTGGGAATCTTGCTGGACTTCGGCTTTGGGCTATTTAATCAGCTTCGAATTTCTGCTTCACTGTATTACCCCCTTAATTGTCTGCTCAGATTCCCAGAAAGAAGGATTAGAAGCCAAGAGTCAGTAAAGAAGGAGTCAGAAGGAGCCTGTTAACCACTGGCATGGTTTGGGAACTACTGGCCAAGTCAAGATCTGGGTGGGACCAGAACCCTAGACCCCCCAGGGCAGGGCTTCTTCCCACAGACACTAAGATCTTATTATTTGTCTCCTTAACCTCCACCACGAAATGAACTTACAATAATAGATTTTAGCTTACTCCTGGGACTGGAGCAGGAAATGACTTTCCCTTCCCCTAACCAGAAAAAGAAAGACCACTGACAAGGGAAACCACTCTTCTGCAAGTGGCCACCTGCCCCAAAGGGCCCCTTCCCTCCTCCGCTAGATCCAGCACATCTGTGGCTCCCTCCCCTGTGCCCTTGCTTCCTTCACTGACTGGGGCCTGTCCTTGGAAAGAACAATCGTGATCACAGCTGAACTGTGGAGCCTCTTAAGCCCAGCCACATGTCCCGGATACATTCCCCAGCCTTGTCAGCTGTCCGGATCTGCAGGGTGGCCCCAAACCCCTGAGAGCCAAGAATACCCCGCCTCTTACATCATGCAACACCCCACACCTCCTGTGCAGGAAGAGGGCACCGTTAAAACTAGGCCCTCCTCCCAGTAGCCCAGGAATCACAATGAGCCTGGCCCTCATCCTAGCTGCTAACTAGCAGCTCTGCAGGCCCCTGTCCCCTTGGGAGGAGTTTATTTTCTCTACTATACAGATGGGGAAACTAAGGCCATGCTTAGCAGGTTTGCCTAATCACTCATCTGCTCTCTTCTGGCCCCTGGCTTGGTTCTGGAAGGAGCAATACAGCTTTCCGTACGTTGTTCAATCACCTTCCTCTGGCTCTTTTCAAAGAGCAAAAATGTATTCTAATGAGTCACTGCTTTCTCCCCTCAGGGAGATAGATATAGGTTGGCCATGAGATAGAACCTTCTCTGCTCCAGCCATTTTTCCCTTCCTCAAAAACTCGGTCGTGTCTACATACAAAACCCCAAATTTTCAACTTTATCTCCAAATTCAGAGGCCTGGGTGAGAATTCTTAGCCAGGCTGTCATCACAAGGGAACTGCCACCTAAGTAAAGGCCAGATGACAGACACTCTCGATTTAGAACCAAATTGAACACTATGATTCTCCAAGAAACACTGGACTTTTCTGAATAAAGAGGGAGGGCTCCTTCCTAGGCCTCCTTGGCACTAACACCCAGGCCCTAATTAACAGGATAGCCCAAGGATAGAAAAACACTATGGGGGCCCAGATCTGGGAGTTAGAAGATGTCACACCTCGAGACTTTCCGCACTGGAAACTGAAATCCCCACATATGGTCCCAAAGTATTAAATCCCAGAGCAACACAGCTCAAAGGTCATTTCTGGAAGTATTAATGGGTTTTATTCCTCTCTTAATTTTTAAATCACTGATTTTCAAATTTTGCACTGAAAGGCCACTTTCATTTATTATTCTTGAATGTCAGCCAAACCTCTGGGCACAGGTTTACCAAAGTCGGGGGCGTCATGGGTGTGAACTGAGTAGGGCAGATTTCCGAAGAGCTACATCTCTTCTCCAATTCTGGGAGGATGCAGATAAAAATGGCATCCGAAGCTGGGCGCGGTGGCTCATGCCTGTAATCCCAGCACTTTGGGAGGCTGAGGCGGGTGGATCACCGGGTCAGGAGTTCGAGACCAGCCTGACCAATATGGTGAAACCCCGTCTCAAAAAAAAAAAAAAAAAAAATGCATCCGAGGCCGGGCGGGGTGGCTCATGCCTGTAACCCCAGCAACTTTGGGAGGCCAAGGTGGGCAGATCACGAGGTCAGGTGTTCGAGATCAGCCTGGCCAGCATGGTGAAACCCAGTCTCTACTAAAAATACAAAAAGTAGCTGGGCGTGGTGGGGCACACCTGTAATTCCAGCTACTCGGGAGGCTGAGGCAGAAGAATCATTTGACCATGGTGGGTGGAGGTTGCAGTAAGCCAAGATTGCACCACTGCACTCCAGCCTGGCTGACAGAGCAAGACTCCGTCTCAAAAAAATAAATAAATAACAATTACATCCATAAGCTCCAAATTTCCACCTGTCCACAGCCTCTGCCCTGCTATGTGCTCTGTCTCCTCCCACCAGCCCTAACTAAAGCTTTATAGTAAGATGAAGCCATTTCAGAGGGTGATCTGGAAAAGGTCGTGGGGCTGGGCAGGAGCGTCAAGGGCAAGAGGCCATTTACACTCCACCAAAAGGGAGTGACTCCCATAACCAACAGATGCTTTTAAAGTCTCCTCACTGTAGGTGACCAATATTTGTCCTTTGAGATTTCAGAAATCTGCTACTAAAATCCCCACCCCACACCCGTAACTGGCCACACAGCTCGGTTGGTAAGTGTGTGCGCTGTTCACCACATTAGGATTTGTCTGGAGCCTGGCGGCGCGTGAGGACCCTCCCAAGGGATAGGAAAGAGGAAATGTGATTTCACGCTGGACATCTTCACTAGTTTTTTCCCACCCTTCTGGGAGATAGAGAGGGAGTGATAGAGAGAAATCTTTAACCTCAGACCTACCTTTCCTAGTCCTCCCGACATCCGCACTTAAAAAAAAAAAAAAAAAAAAGGCTGAAAATTTCAGAGACGTTTATGCTCCATTTGTGTGAAGATCTGGAGATCTCTGAACATTGCGAAATTCACCAGTGCAATATTGGGTAGGGCCTCAGGCAGACCGAGCTCATTAAGAGATTGATAAACCCACAGTTCCCCAACTGCTCTGGGCCTTGTACCTTCCAGCTTTGAATCCCGAGAGGCTTGTCGGAGACGTTAGTGCTTCGGTCAGCTACAGAGACAGACAAGTGCTTGCTCCCACCCCTCCGAAAGTTCTCTGGCCTCTAGAGGTTCTGGTCCTCTCTCAAAACTGGAGAGAATCATGCCACTGATTAGGAAGCAGGAAAGAAGGGGCTGCCACTAGGTTTGGGCACCCCACTGTACACTCTTCTTTCCAGCACTAACCAAGCTGGGGGGTACCCGGAGCCTTGCTGCACCAGAAGGCGGCCTCCTGCCCTCACCGAGGCCTGGCAATATGGATGCTCCTCCAGCAGCTGGTGAAAGAGGCAGTCAGCAGCTAGCCCCTCTGCCTACCATCTAGTCCCTCCAGCCCGTTTCGCCTCTCTTGTCCATCCCTTAGCCCTACAAGCCATGCAACCATTTTCCGTCTCTGTTGCCTCTTCTGCCCACAACCCCCTGCCCCCAATCGAGGAGAATTGAGAAACCTTCTTGCACAAGAGCAGCTGCTGTCTAAATGCTTTTTGATCGTCTGCATGGAAGGAGAACTGGGCACAGCCTTGGCCCCAGTGATGGAGCCAAGCTCCAGCCGCCCTGGCTAGCCAACCCGCCCTCACCCTGCTCACTGTCCCCGGGGTCTTGGGGATTCAGAATTTTTCAGAACGTACCGTCTCTATCCTTCTCTCTTCTTTGTGATGTCAAGCCTGGTACCACCAAGAAGAAAGGAGGGAAAGTAGGAGCCTTATCTCTCCTAGGTTCGCAACCTCTTCCTCCAGCTCCCACACGCCTGGCGTTCTGTAAACGCACCTTCAGCCCCCACCACAGCCCTAGCACGGCCTGGGGTCCCGGGGGCCTGGCACAACTCGGTGCTCGGGGATAGGGAGGTACAGGGTGGCCGAGAAGCCTCAGGCCCTGCGGAGGCCAGGCAAGAAAAAGGCAACTGCAAGGCAGTTGCACAGCATAAAATGCGGCAGCAGAGCAAAGGTCAGACGGCGAGGAACAGCCTCGCCAAGGAGAGGGAGCAGAAATGCCCAGTCCTCAGCCAGCCCCTCGCTGACCATCGAGGGAGAGGCAGAAGGGGAGGGAATCCACTCCGTCACGGCTCCAAAGAGAAAGGAAAAATCTACGTCGAGCATAGGCCGCTGCGGCGGGCTGAGAGATACACGGCAAAGCTGGCACCGTGGGCACCGAGCTGGGAGGTGGGCGAGTCGCCCAGAGTGAGGGCGCCCCCCGACCCAAACGGTGGCTCCTGACCAAGCCCAGAGCCGCCCGTTCCAGCGCTCGAGGAGGGTGGTGGCAGAAGGAGGAAAGAGGCCAGGCCAGAGGCAAACTCCCGGGACACGCACCGGGCTTCCCGAGTCGCAGAGGGCGGGGAAGCTGGGCTTGGCAATGCCCAGGGGTCGGAAACGGCGGTGCCAGGCTGTGAACACCCCCGGCGCCGTGCCGGCCGGACCGAGGGCGTCAGGGAGCTGCGGCGCACCGCAGCGACTCAAGGAGGCGCAGGCTGAGGGGAGGAACACTGAGGCGCGCCTAGAAATAGCGCACCATTTGCCCCAGCCTAAGGGGGAGTCGCGTCGCGGCTCACACTGGGCAGTTTCAGATCCCAAAACCGGCCACGGACTTACTTTGAGGAGCTGCAGGGTCACAAGCATCGCCCCACGTCTGTGTAAATCCCGGAGCCGGAGCAGGTCAGCCGCCGCTGTACTCGCAGACGCCGGCCGGAGGAACCGGCAAGGCTCCCTGCGCTCCACAGCGCCAGCTCCGCGCTGTCAGCTCCGCTCGCTACCTCCGCGGCGATGTTGCAACCACTGCCTGGGAAAATGGCTTTTTTATGAATGGGAGGGAAGGGAGCTCCAGTGCGCACGCGCGTCTTTCGCGATTCTATGAATGGGTGGGCACAAGAGACCTCGAGCGCGCATGCGCTGCTCTCCTTTTTTTATGAATGGGGGGCGGGAAAAGATCTTAACCCGTGATTGCTGGGACTGGCTCTAGCTCTATCAGGAGCCGTCGCTCTTTTACAAAGAGGGGTGGAGGTTCCAGTGGAGGTTGTTGTTGCTTTTTTTTTTTTTTTTAATGAATGGAGGGCGGCGGCGACTGCTGCAGCTGGGCCAGCTGCGCGGGCTGCACCCCCTCCCAGCCTGCGAGAGGAGGTAAAGGCCACCTTCACGCCACTGCGGGCCTGGGCTGGAACCGTCAGTGTCCCTGGGGGGCAGGGGGCACTGCGGCCTCCGGATCCAGGGTTGAGAGCAGGGTGGGGGAGAACACACCTAGATCTGGGGATCTCTGCCCCCGCAGGCAGTCAAAAGGGGGGACGGGAGGACCCCTGCTGGGGGCCTTCTCTTTCTCTAGACCAGTGACGCCAGTGGGGAGGGCTCTCGAAGCTGCATTTACCAAAAATTAAGAAAATGTCCATCATCCATATCAAAGGGTGGAGTGGGGGTTGGTGAGTGAATCTGGTTCCTTTTCCTGAGGTTGAATCTTTTGTGAGTGCTGGCCGCCCCTCCCCCCATTTCTTCGGTGTAGACAGTGACTGGGCCCAGGCCTCTTCCGGCTCCAGTACCCCCCGGGGCGATTCTGGCAACTCAGTCGGAGGAAGCCTGGCCCTCGCCTCCCAGCGTTCCCCCTGCCCCCCGCCCCAGTGTTCTGTCCGCAGTGCCCGGGCGTCTGCCCGCCCTCTGCTGCCCCAGCTAGGTGTCCTCTCTCTGTCCCAGTCGGTTTCCCAGCCCTCACTGGACGCTGGCCTAAGGAGCCCTGGTCCACTGACGGCCCACGGCCCTTTGCTGTTGTAGGCGCCTTTCCCGAATCTCCCGACCTCTCGCCAGCCTCCCCTCCGGGGAAGTGGGAACCGCCGGGAACTGGCCAGGTGGATGGGTGGAGCCGGCCGCGCCGAGGATGCTGCCGGGGTGGCCTCAGGATTAAATAACAGCAGGGCTCTTGAGCCGCGGAGGAAATGGAAATGGCTGGGGATCTTTTCTTTGCTGTTAATGATGGTGGCGTTGAGGGCGGGGGTGAGGATCAGCTCAAGCTGGTGAAAAGAAAAGCCCCCGCCTAATGGCTTGACTCCAGGAAGGCGGGGAGCCCTCGCGGCTGGCTCTGCTCCTCCCTGGAACCGGGGAGCCTGTAGCCTCCGGGAAGTCCGGGGCAAGGGGTGGCTTTGATGCGTGGATAAGAGCAGGGTCTGGGCCGAGGCTTAGCCCCTGCCAGGTTTGTCTTGCCGCTGTTTTGGCCTCTCCGGGAGATTGTGTGGCAGTCTTTTTCTTCCTACGCCATAGGATTGTGCTTGGCTGTTGTCAGAGGAACCAATGAAAGGCTCCCAGCCCAGGGCTGAGGTCTGGCCTAGGGCTGGGGCTGGGACTCTCAAGACAGGCAGCCCAGACCGAAACCCAAGGTCACCGAGTCCTAGTCTAAAATGCCATCTCACCATTTGGACTCACCTCTCCGTGTACCCACCCAGCTCCTGAGGGCACAGCAGACTCTCCCTAAGGAACCTCAGCCTTCCTTTCAGGGGTGAGACCTTCCTCTAAGACCATGAGAACCCTTGCCCAGGACAATGGGTACAGCCGTCCAGACTTCCCTTTAGGGGTGACGAAGTTCAATATCGCCCTCTCCATTTGTCAGCTGTAGAAACTGAGGCCAGGGGTCCTGCACTGGGTATATGGAAGAGCTAATGAATTGTAGCACTGATTTTCTAGATCTTTGCAACCTGGCTCTACTGTGCTACCAACCCTTCCCAGCATCACAGACCTAAAAATCTGTTTCTTGCATGTCATTTAAGCATTTTAAACAATGAAAGTTGAAGCAGTAATTTTCCAGCTGGTGCTCACCTATGGCCCTTGCTGAAACAATTAGAAGGATGGGAATAAATAAATCTTAAATCTATGGCAGAAAAGGAGGATTGGAGGATCTGCCAGGAGAGGGGTTGCTGTCCTGTTTTCTTTGTTAGAGAACTGTCCAAGAGACAGACAGGATTCCATTTCATAGTCTTTCTCAGCTTCCCTGAAAGAGGAGGTGAGGAGACCCCAGCCTGTGGGGTGGAGAAGGAGCTCCCAGTCTTGAGCTGGGAGGGGGCCTCTGATGCTTAAGTACAGCGTGATTCAGAGTGTCTAGGGGGCTCTGGAGGCCATATTTGGTTGTGCTTCAAACCTCAGCTGAGGAATGGTCTGGAGCAGCAGTTATGAAAAATTTATTCGTTCATTCACTCACTTATTCATTGATAGATTCTGTAGCGGGGCCTGCCCTTACTGCAGAGATTCAGTGGTGAGGGACAGACAGCCCTTCCTGCCCTTGTGAAGCTCACAATCTTTTGAAAAGACAGACTGCAATGCAAGGTTGTAAGTGCTAGAAGGGAAATGAGCTTTCTCTGGGGTATGTTGCCTGCAGGGGAGGCGGGAGATGGTGGAAAAAGCTGATTCTGACTTGGTCATCAGGGAATGTCTCTGAAAGGGCGGCTCCTAGTTGTGAGTTGAGACCTGAAGACTGAGAAGTCAATCTTCGGGAGGACTGGAGAGACGTCTCAGGCAGAGGGAGCATGGGTGGAGGCCGTGTGGGAAAAGCCTGCCATATTGGAGGCACTGACAGAAGGCATCTGTGGCCACAGCTTTGTGAGCGAGTTTGAAGTGACCCTGGTGAGGAATTCAGATATCATCCTATTAAGGATTTTAAGCAAGGTCCAACACATTCTGATTTGTGTTTTAAACCTCTCCAGCAGGCCGGGCGCGGTGGCTCAAGCCTGTAATCCCAGCGCTTTGGGAGGCCGAGGCGGGTGGATCACGAGGTCAACAGATCGAGACCATCCTGGTCAACATGGTGAATCCCCGTCTCTACTAAAAATACAAAAAATTAGCTGGGCATGGTGGCGTGTGCCTGTAATCCCAGCTACTCAGGAGGCTGAGGCAGGAGAATTGCCTGAACCCAGGAGGCGGAGGTTGCGGTGAGCCGAGATCGCGCCATTGCGCCATTGCACTCCAGCCTGGGTAACAAGAGCGAAACTCCGTCTCAAAAAAAAAAAAAACAAAAAAACAAAAAAACAAAAACACCTCTCCAGCAGCCCTGGGGCCACAGTTTAGGGGATGAAGGGACGGAATGAAAGCTGGCTGGGGAATGCAAAGCATTTGCTCCATTGCAGGGTGAAGATACCATGTTCATTCTTTAGAACTGGGTGGCCGGTAGGCCTGTGCTGGATTTGTTTTTCTACTTTATCTGACTCTGTTTACTCCAAAACTACTCGATGTCTTCCCCAGGTATAACTTGTCTGCTAGAGGCACGTCCCAACAACCTTGCATTCCTGTCAGTGCTAATGACAATCTTTTCCCCCCTAACTCCAAAGAAAACATCCTCACTCCTACCAGATTGTGGCCAGGGGAGTAGAGTGGGTTCAGTTCTGGGATTTGTTCTTTTATTAATCTCTTTTTTTTTTTTTTTTTTGAGACGGAGCTTCAGCTCTTGTTACCCAGGCTGGAGTGCAATGGCGCGATCTCAGCTCACCGCAACCTTCGCCTCCCGGATTCAGGCAATTCTCCTGCCTCAGCCTCCTGAGTAGCTGGGATTACAGGCACGCACCACCATGCCCAGCTAATTTTTTGTATTTTTGGTAGAGACGGGGTTTCACCATGTTGATCAGGATGGTCTCCATCTCTCCACCTCTCCACCCGCCTCGGCCTCCCAAAGTGCTGGGATTATAGGCTTGAGCCACTGCGTCCGGCTCTTTTATTAATCTCTTAGCCTTGCTAGGACCTGGAAGATGAGTTAGTGTGATTGTGGAGAGGCAGGAATTCCAATTCACTGACAGTCACTTCTGGAGCACTTACTGTATGCCAGTCCTATGTGCAACATGTTTTCATGTGTAAAATTGGAGACAGCCTGGGGCCCTTGAGAAGTTTCCCCAGGGCTCGGATGTACCGAATGCAGACTCAGCGCGGCTGGGCTCAGTGGTAGAAGGCCAAGAAGCAGGAAAGAGCCTTGGGGACCCTGGTCCTTTGAGGAAGAGAGGATGTGTCAGAACAAGAGGTTAGAACTCTGTGCTGGCACTACCTTCTCAGTTTTCTGGTTCAGCGTTTCAGCTATTTCAGCTTTGGAGCTGGACAGCTTGAAAGACAGATGGACAGACACTGACCATGGATTGCTAGGAATTAAATCCTGCCCTTACATGCTCCATAGTCTCAGACAAGTTAATCAAACCTTATGTGCCTCGGTTTCCCCCTCTGCAATATGAAAACTGATAGTAGTACTTACCACAAAGGGTTGAGTGGAGCTGTAATGGAGTATTGACATTGAGCACTTAGAACAGTGTGTGAGCCAGGCACATAGCTCATGCCTGTAATCCCGGTACTTTGGGAGGCAGGAGGATCACCTGAGCATAGGAGTGCAAGACCAGCCTATGCAGTGTAAGGAGACCACCCCCACAATCTCTACAGGAGAAAAAAAAAAGCTGGGTGTAGTAGTACATGTCTGTGGTCCTAGTTACTCAGGAAGCTAAGGTGGAAGGATAGCTTGAGCCAGGGAGGTTGAGGCTGCAGTAAGCTGTGATTGAGCTAGTACATACTAGATGATTATTCAACATATGCAGCTGTTTTGATGCAAAGAATGTTAGAATTTCAAGAGGAGCTCATTTATCTGGATGCATTAAGAACTCAGAGAAAAGCAATCAAAAAATTGTTAAAGTTGGCCGGGCGCGGTGGCTCAAGCCTGTAATCCCAGCACTTTGGGAGGCCGAGGTGGGTGGATCACGAGGTCAAGAGATCGAGACCATCCTGGTCAACATGGTGAAACCCCGTCTCTACTAAAAATACAAAAAATTAACAGGGCATGGTGGCACGTGCCTGTAATCCCAGCTACTCAGGAGGCTGACGCAGGAGAATTGCCTGAACCCAGGAGGCGGAGGTTGCGGTGAGCTGAGATCGCGCCATTGCACTCCAGCCTAGGTAACAAGAGCGAAACTCCGTCTCAAAAAAAAAAAAAAAAATTGTTAAAGTTGTCTTCAATAATAAGAAGTTAAGGCTTATCACAGTGGCTCATGTCTGTAATCCCAGCACTTTGAGATGCCGAGGCAGGTGGATCCTGAGGTCAGGAGTTCAAGACCAGCCTGGCCAACATGGTGACCCCATCTCTACTAAAAATACAAAAATTAGCCGGGTGTGGTGGTGCTCGCCTG